GCTCTACAGACCTCTCCTGTCTCTCGCTGCCCCCTCAGCAGTGCGTTTCACCAAATCTGCCTGTTCTGCTCCCCACTGTGTCTCTGGGGTGTCCTCTCACCCCCTGCACCTCTGGCCTGCACCCCAGTTCTTGCATGATAAATAAATAGTCTTTAAAATAAAACGAGTCCAAAATTTTGAGCCTGAGCTAGATAGATATTGCCCCGAGGACCTGACCAACATTTGAGGATATGCAGCAGACGGCTGAGGCACGCGTGGCCCAGACCAAGAGACAGGTGACTACGCAGAGACGGGAGCGCGGGAGTCTGAAGAAACCCGCAGGTTTCCTCTGGAAAGAAAAGGTTAACGTGCACTGCTTCCTGCTCACCCTCCACAGGCCATCTGATTTTTCAAGCGGAGGAGAGTGGAGACTGCCTTTTCGTCTTAAAATTTCTTGCTTTTTAAGGTTTCAAACACCTACTTCTAAAAAGTGAGTGGGGGCCCTCCCTGGTGGCACAACAGGTTGAAGCGCAGCACTGTGAAGTTCTCCGCGGCTACTGTGGTGAGATGGATCCCGGCCAGGGAGGGACCCCAGGACGCAGCAGACCCCTCCGGTCTCCCTACTGCCCACTCAGCGGTGTCTCTCAATCCATCCCCACTCTGTCTCTGGGGAGTCCTCTGGCGCCTGTACCTCTGGCCCCTACCCCAGTTCTGTGTGCACAGATAAATAAACCTTTAAAAAAAACCTGAATAGCTATAACAACTGCTTACATTCAAAACAATGTTTTCTGTTAATGATACAAAGTATACTTCAACTTTAACTTAACCTTTAAAGTTAGTAACAACAAGAATGTCCTCTAGGCTCCAGCAGAGACTCAGTGACAGAAATGCAGGAGCACTCCATGATCCGGGCGTCAGCCGCGGCCACCGGGCAGCAGCGGCCAGCAGCAGCCAAAGCCAGTGAGTGTGCTGTGCGGTTTCTGCTCTCTCCATTAGTCTTTTTGCCAACAAAATGCAGAACGGCAGACACCTAGGAGGAGATGGCCAGTAACTGAAGAAAACAGAAGACGCTTTGGGAGAAATGGGGAGTGGAGGGAGGAGCTGGGGGAGACCCCAGAAGGCCGTAACAAATGCCAGAGCCCAGAAGACCAACCTGAAGCAGTTATGCACCACCATTAGGATTCCAAAGGCACTCTGGAAAATGTAACCAAGCTAGAAACAAACTCCTGAATGAAAAAAAGATAAACCCTCCCCACTCTCTACATGTACACCCCCGCCCCTGTTAAATGAGGTAAAGCCACTTTACCAAGGGCCCTCCCTGGTGGCACAGCGGGTCACAGCGCAGCACTGAGAAGCTGAAGCCACTTCAGCACCGGCCTGGAGGTGACCCAAGGGCGCGGCAAACCCCTCCTGACCCGCCCGCTGCTCCCCTCAGCAGTGTGCTTCCTTGATCTGCCTGTTCTCCGCACTCACCGCCCCTGCACCTCTGGCCTGTCCTCCAGTTACAAAAAAAAAAAAAAAAACCACATTACCAAAAAAAAAGAGCTTTAAAATGCACCACAGTCCATTGCTTCACACTTGCTTGTCTGCGGGGACTGCTTCTCCCAGGTGACAAGTCCACTCCAACACAGAGCGTGAGGCCACTGCCTGCGCCAGCAGTCCAGGCACGTCCTGGTCGCTCTGGCCGAGGCACAAGTCACACGCACGCACCAGTCACACGCACGCACAAGTCACACGCACACAGGGCGTTCTCGAGCTCTGGGCAACCACTAAGCTTCTCCCTGCTCACCTGTTTTATTTTCTACATAGACACTAGCAACATTAACCAGCGCGTCCACTGGGGAGCCCTATCACCTCGGATTCTCTGGGGGCGGGTTTTGTAAGAGATCTATTAGGAAATACAGATTTCCAAATAGTAAGAAAACTTCACAATCACAGTCAATGTAAGTCAGGTAGCAATGAATACATAGTCTTAGGCTGCCACAAGTAGATTATTCCATATTATTCTAGAAATAACAGCTGTCACCTAAGTTTCTGGGTGCAACTAGCTGATAAACTGATACACAATAACTATGGGAACGTCTCCACTTTCTAGCTGGCTTCCGCCCTTGCGTCCCTATCCAGCCAGGGGTCAGAGTGCAGAGCTGACGAGAAGCCCAGAGCTGTGGGAGAGTCTCGAGGCAGAAAGGCTTTGAGGACGTGGAAACACAGAATTTCTACAACTGTTCCAAGTCCTAACAAGGGAGACTGTTGCTGGAAAAGTAACTGTAAGCTCACAGGTCAAAATGAAAACATTTGCTTTACTGAAATGTACAACCCAAACTTTACAGCTCCTGCGTGCTACTAACTCCCTTCATCCAGGCTCAGATACCCACTCACCCCTCTCAGCTCATGCCTCACCTCTCCATTTATTCCCAAAGCAGTGGAGGGAAAGGGGTGCAGTGGGAGAGACCGATGATGTTCCTCTTCAGCCACACACAGGCCAGAGGTGCAACTTGTTCTAAGAAGCCAGGGCACACCACCGTCAGCTTACCGCACCCTGCCATCCACCTGCTGCAGCCGCTGCTACTCCTGGGCAGGTACGAGGCCCTGCTAGCGGAGAGCGCTGAGACAGCCGCCTCCCCCCGCCCGCAGCCGCTGACACCCACTGCACCCGACCCAAAGCGAGTAACAGTGCTGCCGGGGTCCAGCCCACAGAGCACACTGGAGGTCAGCAGCCCGTCTCCTCCAGGGGAAGGCATCATCCAGAGAGACCGCCCGGCGAAGAATGAGAAGTCAGGGGAAGTAGCCCACAGCCCAGCACTGGGAGAGAAGGGTGAAGAGCCGATCCCGCAAGCACGGGAGGCTGTTCCCAGTACGAATGTGTACGCCGAGCCTGCAGTGTTGAGGACTTAGCAGAGGAAAGGGCACAGGGAACCCCAGAATCCTGTACACGGCCCCAGGCCGAGGGCTGTGATAGCAGGTGACCAGACGGAAGCAGTGAAAGACGAAGCCATAAGTCAGAATGAGGCCAGGAGGCCTGGCCCCAGACTTACTTCCTAACCTAGCTGAGCTGGATGGAGCCGTGGGGCGCCTGCAAGGCGACCACCTTCCAGCGACAACAGACGCACACCCCACCCCACTGTGCTGCAGGGGACCTGAGAAGCTCTGGCGCACACCTCGGGTGGGGGTCGGCGTCTCTGGCCTGAGTGAGGACAGTACACAGAGTGTGGTCACCTTAAGACCCACAAAGCAAAAATAGCTCAAGACTGTTCTCGCATCATAAAGAAACCCGAGTCTTTCAAATCCAGGACTAAGGTTCTTCCAGTAAGCCCCTCCCCAAAGCAAATTCCTTGTTATGAGTATAATCTTTTTAAAAAGGCTTTAAGCAAAGCAGGCATCTGGTCCCTCCCTGGTAGCGCAACAGGAGGCAACACTGCTAGCTGGGTGCAGCCGCCTCATAGTGAGTTCAATCCCCTGCCCCTGAGGTGACCCACAGGGAGTGGCAGACCAGACCGTCCACTGCTCCCCTCAGCAGTGTACTTCGTCCATCTGCCTGTTCTGCTCCCCACTCGGTCTCTAGTGAAGCCTCTCACCACCCCTGAGCCTCTGGCCTGTACCCTGGTTCTGTGTGCATATATGAATAAATAAATCTTAAAAAAAAAGAAAAAAGAAAAGAAAGAGGAGGCATCTGCTGGAAGCACACTAATATTTTAAAGATGAGAACTCTTAAAACTCGCTCTGGTTCCCACAGCAGAATCGGGAAGTGACTTCCCGGTGGGCAGGGCAGGTTCACAGACCCAACACTAGCCACGCGGGAGGGGACGATCGCACGCTGCATCGAGGTACCCTGGTATTAGATGAGAAACCAGATAGAACTGAAAGGAAATATCCTGAGTATTAACCATCTTTAAAGAGTTAAAAATGCATTTCAAAGGCTATGGTTGGTACTCAGATGTTCCTTATTAGAAAAGTTTATAGTAACAATATTCTCAAGAAGGGGATCACAGACTGTAACTTCTGCAAACATGTGAACACTTCCTGGAACAAGGTGGAAAGGCTAAGCACATGATCCAGACCGCTTACCATAGAATGCGAGGCAACAGCCAGTACCCAGGGCTGTAAGCACCAGGAATCTCACTGAGACAGTTTCCAAAAGACCCAAAGAGAACACAAAATCTGATGGAGACTTTCAAAACAAACCTCGTGGGGTGGGGGCAGGACAGGGCGCCCCATCGGGAGAGCACATGCAAGCCGGCTCAACCCACACGGTGGGCAAGCCAGGGAGGGCGGAGGAGGGCGGGAAGAGGACAGGCCCAGAGCGCACCCAGAGGGGTGGTGCGGGCCCGGGGGGCCTGGGCACTGGCCTCCAGGCAGGCAGCCTTTCAGAACCCAGCCAGCAAGATGTGATCTGTGTTCAGGAAAGAAGGCTCTGGCAGCCACGCTGCGGACAGGAAGGGGTGGGGAGGAGCCTAAAAACAAAGCCTGGAGCCAAGACAGGAATCTGAGGCTTTGACACATTAGCACTAACCAACTCTTGTAAAAGGCAGGGATGCTGACACAAATACTCGCCTCACCCTTCGCACGAGGGTCCCAACCACAGTGTGGGGCCGGCAGCATCACAGAATTAGAGACCGCGGCTCAGAAGCCACCAGCCGCTCCAAGTCAAGTGCAGTTACAATAGGGATAAAAATCCAGGTTCAGCCTTTTCCATACAGTGCAAAATTCTTTTTAAAAAATCAGCTTTTGAACAGTGCTACAGTAAAATAAAGCAGTTATCTGGCACACTAAAATGCCACTACTTTTTTTAACGTTTGCGACTGTGTGAGAAATAAGCTAATTATCCTTAAAGCAGATACACCTGTCTGTCTTACATCAGCTCCCCTACGGACCTGCACTTCAAAAACCCAACTCAGAAAGGGGAGACCTCTAGTTCGCGCCTAGGGAAGGAATACTTAAGGCCCGTTTCCCCTGTCAGTGTTTCGGTGGTCAGATCCGCGTTCACTGCCCAGACGGGCTGCTGCAGCCCTGCTGACACGCACCCAGACTGAAGCGGTAAACTACTTTCTGGGCTCTGGAAAGTCACCGCAGCGAGCGCAGCCACTGAATCTAGAAGAGAAGCCGCCTTCGCCGCCAGGTGCTGGCCCCCAGGTGCGCAGGACACAACTTGGGGAGCGCAGTCCCCTCGCAGGGTCAAAGCGCCGGGACCCACTTCGGAACGGACTCCTCGAAGAGCTGCGGCGAGTCTGACCTTCAGGACGCCCCCGCTAGATGTCTCCTCCCCAGGATGCGAAGCCTGCGAAAGTCCGCGGCGCCCTGCACCGGGCCGGCCGCGCCGGCGAAGCGCCC